CAATCATCGAGTTCACCGTCTTCCACATCTCAGCTTCTCCAGGGTTACTTGCTTCATCAGGCATCATCAACGACCCGTCAATGAAGCCTATCTTGCGCTTGGCACGAAGCGCGTTCTCCAGTTCCGATGACCACTCAGCGTAGTTTTCTCCTGTCAACTGGACTGGAGAAATCGACACACCAGGATTATCAGAATGGGACAAATAATACGGCGAGAACACACTGATCTCTTTGCCACTGCCACCGGCGATGGTCATCTCTCCTTTAGTCATACTTTTGATAAAAAAACTCTTTTTGCTCTTAAAACGGAGAGCAAAGCAAACCTGCAATATCACATAAAGCACATATGTTTCTTCATGCCGTGGAACAAATCGGGCGGTGCAGAGTACACATCATTTTGTCCTCTGCAGATCTGACATATTATAAACAGGTTTCAGAAGATGTAAGTTTGGTTTTTCATCGGCCATGTTACATTGGCTTCTACATGTGTGGTCAGCATGGTTTGACTCGCTCAATTTGGAGTTAGTTCCCAAAAATCTTCTGGCGTAGTTATAAACAATGACAATTCTTTGACTAACTGTAGCAGTGATTAAAGTAAAAGTCAACATAAAATTGTTGTGGTTTCACCTTATTATATTTCTGTCCAATATTTGTTATCACATTATGTATTTTAATTATTGTATTTATTGTTGTTGTGTTTATTTGATTAATGAAAACATATTGTTATTATTATGTGGTCTGCCATTTTATCAATACAAAAGTTGAAGTGAAAGTAATGTTTTTTTCATTTAAGTATTTTTGTTTGATTTATCAGCAATTTTGTAATTTTCTCCTCATATTGTTTTATACTGTATGTATTTGGTAAATGTTTTAAGTGGATTATTTTGTATAAATTTTTATTATATGTTTTATATTTTTATTTGTTGAACATGCAAACCTGTTGGTTGTTTCTATATATTTGAATGAATGCAATATCTTTGGATTTTACTTAATATCTTGAAAACAAAATTTTCATTTATTTGTAGAATAACAGATTGGGTAATCTTTTCAAATAGATCTAAATAATGTTTTTTGACCCAAAAAAACACACAGAGAGATAATGATTAAAAAACCATTGAAAAGGTAAAAGATTCTTCCGTAATTAATTTTTAAATATAAATAAATAAATTTGATAAATATAATATCTATAAAATGTATTTCAGTTTTAAATTTTTATTTTTGCGAAAAGCTTTGTTCAAACGAAAAGAAATTCAAAATTTTATTTTGAAATCTGCAAATTAGTTTGAAATTCTAGAATTCATTTGAAACTATTTTAAAAATTATTCTTTTTAACTTCAAATATTAATATTTAGAAAAGCCTAAACCCCTTCACAAAACTCATCCTCAACCCTAGGGATATAAATACGCTTTACCTATTGTGTATAACATTCTTGTCAGTTTTATCTTTGTGTGTGCTATATTTATGATAAAACTTTATTGCTATACTTAAAAATTTCTCTAATAGATTTGTTGAGATTTGTATGAGCAGAATAATACTCTTTTGCGGCACTCTTCCCTTTCTTTTAGTTTTCACTTGTTAATGTTCATTTGGTAATTATTCCACTATAAATTGGTCTCTAGTTTGTAAGTCCTTTTTAGATAGATTTATCAATGTGATTGTTAAAACCTTTATGGGACCTAGATAACTTAGTGAAGTGTAATATTTATGTATGTTTTTTTTTATCAAGAGCAACTTACGGGTCCACCAGAGCGGCTTACATTGCACATCATCTGCTTTAAACCTTTCAAGCATAAGAACAAACAATTTTCTGAGAGTCTCAATAAAATTTTGATTTATGTACTTGTTTCTGAACAGATAATTCTCACGACTACCCTCATGCACAAACTTGGACACACGAAGCCGTTGTTCATCTTCCAAACAATAACCAATCAGCTCAACTAAGTTTGGATGACTTAACTGCCACAAGTAGTTGATATCTGTTTGAAAAAATAATACCCTAAGAGATCAGAGAATCAAACAATAAAAATTTGAGATGGGAGTGACATAATAAAAATAACAATGTTGTGTATCACACATTCTCGGTGATCTTGAAAGCCATCAGTTTTAGGACGCTTGACATAAACTACTATACCAGTACTGGATCTAGTTGAAGCTAGATTAGTCTCATCGTTCCAACCTCTATAGATTGAATCGAAACCGCCTTCACCGACAACAGAGCCTTATCTCAAGTTTCTGGTTGCACGTGTAAGTTCGTTAAATGTAAGGCTCTTAACGTTCAATTTGCTAATTATCTTTCCTTCGCTCTTATGAGCTGCCGATGATGATGATGATTGAACACTCGAGAGGTGAAGGTCGTAGAGACCGCTGCTCGTATCTTCAGAAACACACACACAAAAGTCAAAACTAAGGATAATTGGAGAAGGTGGAAACCTTTTAACTAAGATCACTTGAAATATCAAAAAGTTCATTCCTTTTCTCAGAACCTATCACCAATAAACTGATAAAACATGTAATTTGAAGAAAAACACTTGTAATCATTTTTGAAAAAAAATTCTGACAAACTGTACAAAGAGGAAATTAAAAAGGAGAAGGACCAAACAAAAATCATCTCCCAAATACATTAACTCAAGATTTTCAGAACATAGTTTGATGATTATGAGTTTTCTTGCCAGAATTACCTTTGCATCGACAGTGAACATGTCTAGCCCATAAGCTCGCCGGTGCGTTTCACATGTTTTTGCTTCCCTACATAAGCAGGTGAACTTGGACGGTTGAGGTGCATAACGGCTAACCTTCAAATCAATGAGGAAGAGAGGGGGGGGGTTAGTAATTCTTAACTTTGAAATTTTAGACCTATATGATCGATATGAACATCGATGGAATGAGGTTATATATCTATTTATAGTGGAAGAACTACAAAATGGAAGTAATGAGGGATGCATTGAATCAATTGAATCAAAAATCGTGTGAGTAGTGGGAGATGTTTTAAATGAGTGAGTTAAAAGCAACGATTGGATGCATTTGTCTTCAGTAGCCTAGAATCTACAGATTACACAATCGAAGAAGGAAAAGGTATAAACGTTGTGACCTTTTGTGTTTTTTTATGTGAAACCCAACTAATATGATTTGTAGCTCATATATTAGAAAAACGTTAAAGCCCGTACAATAACAAAATGTTTAAACCCGTGAAATACCAAAAGAAAATGAAAGAATAAACACATTCGGACACATGTCGTGTTCTCCTCTTTCTATTTAATGACGTGACAACATTAAAATTGAGGAAACTTTACTTTATATAATAAGATTTCCAAATACATTACCATTAAGAGGCTGATTGGTTGTAACACATTAATTGCGGGTGTGGTTATTAAGCGATTTGTATAGCTGATGCAGCTATTGGAGTTGGTGTATTTGCAAGATATTATTGGACGGTTATGAGATATGGAGCAATTGAATAATTAATTATCAATATTAATGCATTAAAATATAATAAAAATATCAAAAGCATATTGTTATGATAAAATATAACAATTAGTAATATAATATAATTAACAATAATATTATGTTTATTTATTTAACTTTTTAGTTGGGATGAATTATATTTGAATTGTTTTTGTTGATTTATATTAGAAGTCTTAAAAACTATTTTCTTTCGTTTATATATGTGTATATATATATTAATGTTTAAAAAATATAGATAATATTCATAGTTTAAAGTTTTTATAAAATAAATAATGATAATTTTAGTGAGTTTAAATAAAATTATAATATGTATATATATATTTCAATTACAAAAGTTTAATTTAATATTTTAAAATAGTTTTTGAAAAAAAAAATGTATTCATCCTTCCGCAACCGTTAACAAGAATCAGATTTTAAGAGGTTTCAAACGGATTTTGGTGGTTTATAGCGTTTTGTGATTATTGTGAAACGTTAACAATCACTAATAACCGCAAAAGCTACTTTTGTGGATGGTAGTAGAGAAAACAGTAACGTGTTTATAATAATATCTCAAATTATGTGACAAAAGCCCCCAAATTAGTGTGTGAAACTATTTGTTTGCTCTAAATAAATTATAAACAAGGTTAGATTGTTATATTTGGATTCTCTCTTTTTAATTCAAATATAGATGGTTCACTTAGATAAAACTTTGAGTCAGAATAGAAAAAAAAACATTTACAGGTAATTTGAGGTTGTTTGTTTGATTTTCAAAATTATTAGGGAAAATAATGTTAAAAATAATTAGGAAAATAATAGTAACATGAACTATGTTCTGATTATTATTAAATGTTTGTCGCAATATTTTAAACCTATACTAGGTAAACATCTGAATCCAAGACAGCTTCAATAGATGGGTGATGAGTGGTGACAAGCTACTTTCTATTAGTCAACTCTGTACTCATTATTTATTCCAAATACAAAATAATGCTTACCTGTGTTTGTGTTTGAATTTAGTTATTTAATAATGAAAGAAACCAAAAAGAGAAAATGTAATTGTTTTTTTAATAATGTTACGTGTAATCAAATTATACATATATGTATGAAGAGCGCACATACAAATGAGATCAGACTGGGATACTTAGAGCACCTTTATCCACGGTTTCGAAGATAGAATTTTTAGAAAAATATAAGAAATTGTTTATTATTTTTTAACTAGAAAGTTAAAAAACTATTTTTTTAAATACTACTACACAATTTTAAAAGAAAATCAAAAAATGACAATGGAACACTAAGACTATGATTATCCCTAAAACTCACTTAGGGTTTTAAGAAAAATATTTTATTTTGTCTGATTAAAAAATAAAAAGCATACCAATCGTAAATCGCCAAGTCTCGGTGGATCCGCGAACATTGCAAAAATCCGCCACAATCGGTCCTTATCTCACACCTTTTGAGATTGATTTTCAAAGTTTTTGTGGGGTCTAGAAATTAAAAAACTTTTTACTATCTTCTGATATTCATGCTCTATCTTTTCCAAAAAACAAATGGAACACTAATAGATCGAATGTTCCAAATGATATTGATTGTATGAATGTATCGATAATAACATGAACATATAAATAAAATACAATGCTACACATGAATCAAAACACACTCAGGTCGTCGCATGTACCAGTTATTTTTCGTTACTAAACCGCTATAATTTTTTGGTGTAAACCATAATATAATTAAATAAAAAGACAAAGATTGAAAACAGAAGATCTTGGAATTGAATCGATATTACTGATCAGATTTGTTAATTATGAATCAGCAAGAACAGCCTGGTCTTGACGGCTCCTCAAGAATGTCTGTAACAGATGCAGACAAGTCTCTGGAATATCTGCAAATTCAAAGACAAAATAATCAAAAACATGAAACCTTAGAGAAAAGTTGGAAGAGTTAGATGTGTCCATAAATCAAAGTTGATATGCACAGAAACTCACATGTATTCTTGTTTATGTTCATTGGAGAGAGCCTTGTGTGCAACACCCAAAAATGCTTCATCCACATTGATATTTTCCTTTGCAGAGGTTTCATGGTACGGTATGTTTCCCTTTGAACCACACCATTCGATGGCTCTCTTATTCGAAATCTGCGTAAGTAAAAATTGCTGAAGTTAGCATTTTTGGTGGGTCTAAAGGAGGAGATATATAGAGAATATAGTCTTACAACTCGGGTGTTTCCACCATCTATATCGGTTTTGTTTCCAATCAAAACAAATGGAAATTTCTCAAGTTCCACAGGATTTGCCTGGAAGGGATCAGTAAAAGGAATAGAACCCATCAGAATTTCGAAAATAAACGCTCGTAACTTCTCACGCAAGAAAATGAATGATTATGGCAAAACCTGCTTGAGGAACTCCATGTGCCAACTATTGAGAGTTTCGAAGGATTTGAGATTGTTCACGTCATAGACAAGAACGCAACAATCAGCACCTCTATAGAACGCAGCTCCTAGGCTGTGAAATCTCTCTTGTCCAGCCGTATCCCATATCTACAAACAGAGTTTTATAGATTTTTTTTTTTTTGACAAAAAGTTCAAAATATTTTCTGAATAGAAAAATGTTTTACTTGTGAAACAAGGGATGATTTATAAATTTTACTTGTAAAGTGACAGCTTTGTCTTCAATATGAAGCTCCTTGGTGACAAAATCTGCTCCGATCGTGGCCTTGTATTGTCGGTTAAACTTCTTGTACACGTATCTAGTAACAAGTTAGGGTTTCTTACAAAGATGGAAGAAAATTTAGTGATTTAGCATAAAACAAACCGACATTTTAACAGAAATCAGGACCACTTTATAAGTTTGAACGGTGAGATTTAAAGAGGATACTGGTTCATCAATGAAGTTTTGCCAACCCTGCATAAATAAAGTTCTTAAAAAGTCAAAAAAAGAGAAATTTTAATTTATTATTTCTTATAAAAGAAAATGAACAATATATTCATTTGTATCATCAAGACAGAAGTCTCGAAAAATCTTGAAAAAAAAATCTGAGGAAATGATTACCCGCTATCTCCGAGGACGATGACCTTAAGCAATGTTCTGTTCTTCAAAGACTCCATCGTCTTGAAGCTCACGAATCTATGAGGTTCTTCTGCTTGAAAAGTTTCTTTCTGGTTTTTGACAGAAGACAAGAAAAGAAAAGTCTACGAGATCGGTCTTGATGATCTTTTCTTCTTCTGTCTTCTTGAAAGAAAAAGATAATATGAAAAAAAAAAACAGAAAAAGGGTTCTTTATCAGTTATCACGTGTTATGATATTGGTTGATGTGAAGAGAAGCCATGTGAATCCTTCGCCAACTAAAATCAAATATCTAGGCCAAGCCAGCGAATACTAATCTAAAAAAAAAGTATTTTTCCAATTTACTGAATATTAAAGAAATATAATTTTCCTATTTAAAAGCATATTATTTACAGGTAATATGCGACAAAAGTAAATCATTTATTAATTTACAGGAGAACTGAGTTGTCTTTTCTTTTCTTAACAATTTTTTATAAATTGTCTATATTTGGTCGCCAATTCATTAACAATGATCGGCAAAACAATTAATTTGAGGATATGAATGTTCTTCTGCCATGTTTTAAAAGTCAATGGATATACCTGTATAAAGTTGTGCAGATTTCGCTATTTTTCTATATTTTCTTTATAAGTAGTTTCTTTGTTTGTTACCAACAATAAGGTTATTTTTATGAGGCAATATTTAAAAAATTTGTATTTAAATTTCTTGACTAACTGTTGGCAAAAAAAAATTCTATGACTAAGACTATGTGTAATGGTGTGTTGAAATAATAATTTCAACATTAACAAAGACATTCTCACGCAGTGGGAGAATTGTGTCAGTTTCTAAGTGCTAGACATTTTTTTTGTCATCAAATGATAGACTTTTCTGGAGAAAAAAATGAAAAAGATAGTAATAACGTAAGATATATTATGATCTCAAATAAGAAACAAAATATAAGATTGACAGGCAAAAGTATGGCTGAGCGTTCGGGTATGCATTGAAGATATGGGTTAAATATTTCGACATAAAAATATAGAATTCGTTCGAATATTTTTATCTACCAGTAGGATTCAGGTATCTTTAGTTAGAATTCGGTTATTTTGAACAGATTCGGATATTTAACTTTTGAAAAAAAATCATTGCTAAAAAATTTATTGTACTTTAAATTTTACCATTAAATTTTAGTAGGTTTGACGACTAATATGTTTGAATATAAAATTTTGAAATAGAAAGACACTAATCTACTTGTTGTTATAAGATTTTGATTACAACTTTTGTTAATGTAGAAAATAAGAAATTTGAGATTTAAATGAGTAGTAAATAATTTTATCTGACTTTCAATCATGTGTAGCATCAATATAAGTATGTACTTTGAAAAAAAATGAGATAAGTAATTTAGAAATATATGGTTAATTATACATATATTTGGTTATTTTTCGTATCATATGTTTGGTTCAGATACTACTCTTTTAGATTCAAATATTCAATCTCTGTTAATTTAATAGATGTTCAAGTATTTTTGCTATTTCATCAATTTGATTGATTTGGATTCGTTTTTTTTTTTGGATCAGAGTCAGAGTACAGATACAGATATGTCTAAAATGTCGAAGCTAGCAAAAGTCTGAAAAGGAAAGAAATAGATAACAGAGAATGGGAGCGGTCCTTTTAAGTTCGTTCACATAATCGACTGCTGGTAAGTTGTCGACCAGATCGTGCTTGCCTTCACTTCTTCTCATCTCTTTTTTAGTCGTTGGCATGACAAACATGTAGCTGTCTCTCATCATATTTGTTTTTATTTGATCTGTTTATCTAGCTTTTGACATAAAATTATGTATTACTAAATACCAACTGAACAACAGCTAGGCAAAAACAAAACTTTATACAACAGGTTTTTGTCCAACCAAAAAAAAACGGAACAGGTTGAACCTAGTTTACGAAAGGGAAAATAACATGAAAAAGAGAAGTTTGGGTCCATGTATATAAAAAAACATAAAATTAAATATATAACCATAACAGAATTTAGGTTTATGCTATTTTTGTAATAATTGCTATATTATCCGTGACAGTGGACGTTCGGATATCCATTCGGGTTCGGTTCAGATCTATCCGTGTTTCAAATTTTTGGGATTAAAGATTTTAGTTCATTCAGATATTTATAAATTTTGATTCAGGTTCGGTTTGGATATTTACGAGTTCGTTTCATATTCAAATAGCCCCTTTAAATTATTTTTGAAATTTTAAAATTCATATATACATTTTAACTTGTCAAATTTTAAAAATAAAAATAATATGTAACATATAAATTTGGATAATGTATGCCAAACTACCTAAGTTTAACATAAAATTTGATATTGCTTGAATATTATGAAAAATCAATTGATAATTCAGTATTTTTGGTGTTTAGAGTATTGTTCAGATATTTACTTTTGATTATTTGTATAAATTTTCAAATATTTTGGACAACTTCAAATATCTTATACAACAATTTGTATATTTTTGGGAATTAACTCTAAAAATACCTAACATATTCAAGTATATAAATCTGATTTGGTTATATTTGGATATCTAAAATATTTCGGTTTTGTAGATATCAAAATTTTGAACTCGTTCAGATATTTAACCTATTTCGGTTTGGGTTCGATATTATTTTTTGGATCGGATTCTAATTTTTGTCCAGCCATGCTTGACATACACACATTTCCGTTTGATTTTTTCCTTACAAATATGTTTCTCCCTTCTACTTTTAATTACTTTTAGAGAAATTATCAAACTTTGTATTTTATATAACAAAAAATTAATTGTTTTCTACACATGATATGTTTTGAAATTTTCGAAACAAACATATATTTTTATAAAATATTCCATATATGCGATTTTATACAATTTTACACATCCATTTAGTATAATTAAATTTTATTTTCAGTGAGACATAATTTGTTGTGTTTCTTTCTATTTTATATAATGGAATTGTAACATATAATATCTTCTTTATCAAAAGAAAATATAACATAATATAATTGTCACATCCTCATACCTAGATAAGTCCTTTGGTATGGGTCATGGTTCGAAGAAACGAACCAGTCAGATCATATGACCTAAAGACAAGTATTACATGGCCTAAAAAAATTTAAATGCACTACTATGATAAGAATTAACCAAATAAAGAAAGATACAAAGATAAACAAGTTGGACGAGTGATACGGCAGCTTGGTGAATTGTTCGGAAAGCTTGATCAGCTGAACGAGGTAAGAATCAGCTCGGGCCAGCTCACACTGAATAGAGTCAGATCCCTGAGCTGGACCAGCTGGGATCAGCTCATCTCATCTCATATGGACGAAGTGTTCAAGTCTTGGACAGTTGGACCGGTCCGGGTCGTGGTCGGTCAGCCGGTTGGGTCTTAGGGTCCAGCCATTGGGCCGATGGCTTGAGAAGTCCATAGGCACGGTACATGGACTATAAGAAGGGCCCAGGCCCATTTCTTATATGTCAGAGGAAAGTTATATGCGAATAGATGTAAGTGGTAAAGGCTCTGGTCGAAAGAATGCGATGAGACCAAATGGTGTCCACTCGCCCACCAAATGGTGCGTCCTCGGCCAAGGCAGTTACCTACGCCTTCTTCTATATATACAGGACCCTGAGCAAGAAAATAATGCATTATTCCTAAGAAAAATAAAGATAAAAATCATGAGAGAGAGAGAGAGAGAAAGAAAGATAGATATAAATTGATCCTTGAAGGTCGATATTGTGGAGATTAAGCGATGGCAAGGTTAAGACCGATTGTGGAAAGGAAAGGCCGACCAGTATAAATACTAGAGGCAAAAATAAATACTTGGAGAAGGGCTCTGAGACTCTAGAAACACACGTTCAAGGTAATGGATGTGATCATGAAACCATCGCCCACAACCATCGATCGGTTGGTTGGGCCGGTTTTGTATTGATTGCATCTTCTACTCTGTATTTGTGTGAAAAATGGTATGGATTGGTAATGAAATTTACTTGGTAAGAGTCAAGGTCATGTCCGAGTGAAACCAACCATGAATCATGGTTCATGACCGATAGGTTGGAAGGTCTGATGGGTCTTAACCATGAGTCGGTGACTTTTCTTTTGGCAAAGGGAAATCTGTTCGTTTTTTTGAGATTGGAATGGCTATTGGTCCAAGTACATGGGCTGGCCTAAAACGTGTGGACCAAGGCCCAATGGGCTAGCTTTTGCGGATGGCCCAATCGACCATGATGTAGATCGGTTTCGTTGATCTGATGGTTTTTATCTAACCATGGGCAATCTGGTTATGGTGTGAGTGGACTGGGTTGTATTTAGATTTGTTATAAGGATCCCAGATCTTTATGAATATGCCGGAATCATGTTGGTATTGACCCGATCATGTTTGGCTTAATTCGATCATATGGGAAATGGTGGGATGCAATGTATCAGCCGGTCTTTATGGTGCGAGATACGAAAAGTTGGTTTGAGTTGATCACGGCCTGATCCATTATAATGTGATCTATGAATGAGTCTGAATGGTAATTATCATGTACCAATGGTGAAGAGTCATGACCGTTCGTCAAGGGGTTATTTTTGACAAATAACCGAGTGATCGAAAACTATTGTAAGATTGATTCATGGGTCGCATACCTATAGGGATGTTGATGGTTAATTAAATTAACAATAATCTGGATTGGAATTATGGTATGACAAGTGTCCTAGCCAAGAGGCACGAACCACTTGGAAGGATGCGACTTGCATTATTATGAGGCAAAAGGCTGCATAAGGAATGGTGATCGATCAATGATCTATGGGTGATCCGATTAATAGTCTTACTTTCTTTATGAGTCAATGACGTGTCATTATTACATAGTGACCATAACGAATTCTTGATATCAACCTTGGTGTTGGTACACAAGGCCAAATGATTGGCTAAGAACCATGAAGAAGAGTATGACTAGTGCTGTGAGTCGTGGACAACAAGTACTAAGCGTACATGTGCTTCTTCAAGGAAGACCATGTATGATCTGATCATAGTTGAGTACTGAATTCCTGGTCCATAGATGATGAGATGCATTGGTTGGAAGACAAGGCTGATCGGACTTGTTGGAATGTTGTTCCATGGCCGATCAAGAAAGAGTGAAGAATCATCAGTTATGAGTCATGTGGGGTAGTTGGATGATTGACTTAGGATCTGGTGAGCATT